GGTATATAAGTGATTTTCATTTTTTTTTGCTTTCCAAAAAGCTCATGAAAGTAGATTTTCATTTTGGAAACAAACCAGTATCAAGTCTATGAAGGAAAGGATATGCTTTCAGTTATAAAGTGAAACTTAACATGAAATCAAACTTGCAGTTAATTTCTTTTGAACCTTCTCATTACTGATTACTGCCCAAAGACGTTCATTCGATCAAATGTTACAAGTGGAGGATCGTTTGGAGCCAGCCATGTAACATGAGAAATATCTCAACCAGTGCAGTTAAACAGCTAATTGCCGACTGGAGACATTTAAGACCTCACCTCACAAGTGGTGATATTCATCATATCAGGCAATGGCCCTGAGATATTTTTTTTTATTACATTTGGCTTTCAAAAAAAGCAAGATTAATTTTAGTGTTTTGTATTTTAAATTAAGATAGGTATGAGACTTTTTTCTAATGTTGTACATGTTGAAATTGGAGCCTGTTTTCCATCGGTTTTTTATTTGACTTGAATCTCATAATATTACTGATTATCATTTTAGAAATTGTACATAAAAAAATTGTTCTTCTAATTGGAGAATACTTATTTGCAAGGAGCCACAAATAATAAACTTCAGGTCATCATGTACCTGTGAGTGGTGTGATACAGGGCTACAGTGTACTTGAGAACTTGCTGACTGAAGCAAACAACTAAAGAACCACACAAGATTTACAATTCTGTACCTATAAATACAAAAGATTTCATCAGTTGCTTATGTTCACAGAAATCACAATTTACCTAGTAGATGTTCTGTTTCAGAAGTAGCATATTACTTGAGTCTTGTGTGACAAACAATTTTTCACAGTTTCTTGATTTAGCTACATGTTAAAATATTGTTGTTTGGATGTTTATGTATATATTTTATGATATAAAATTAAATTTCTTCATTTCCCATGCACCTGCATAAATAATTTTTAGTTGTTTTGCGATTAAATTCTCCTGCAGCAGCATCATCTGTGCCTGTAGTATTCCTGTAATTCACTAACAGAAGACAGTGTTAGACCTCACTTCACTTCAACTAAGCCAAAATAAATTGGAGCTGTGTTAGATTCTTGTCACTTTGTGCTAACTGTACAGGACTCAAAATGGCATTGGTGATCTATCAATCCCTTTAAGCGCACATCAATGCATGCTGCATTGTGAAAGGGATCCAGTTCAGGCCATTGAAAACAGCTAGCTGTTTCAGGGACAGGCCTCTGTCAATATGGAAATTGCACATCCTATGATGTAAATAGTACCCAGATTACCATTTAACGTCTGAACTGGTTCAAGCCTGTGTGGTGCTGTGTATGTGAGGTGATCAAACTGAAGAGGCCCAGCTGCATCCACTGCAATTTGCCTTCATCGTCACAGCTTGATTTTGAGGCCTTGATCCAGGGAGCCTGTATGTTCTGTATGTTTGGTTGCCCAAAGGTCAAAATCTTTCTCCAGTTGCTAACTAGTTCTGTGTTATCCATTCACTGTCCTGCTGCTCATACAGCTTTTACAGAGGTTGCTGTATGTAGTGAAAAAGTGGGAAAGCTTATTGATTATAGAACTATATTTCTGAAAGTACTACTTCTAAATGTGTTTTTGCCCTGATTCGTTAAGTAGTGGAAATAATATTGGACTACATACCCTCACCACATCTTGTTTTTACTTTCTCTCTCATGTTAACCCGCTCCAGTGAATAAAACTTTCCATAGATGTTATCTCACCTGAGTTTTTCCATCCTTGTTTTGTTCTTATTTCAACCTTCGAGCACCTGCAGTATTTTGCTTTCATTGAGCACTTTGTGGATGTTTCATTCTAAATATATCCTCTCATCCACTTATCAATTAGTAGATCAATGCTGCATTTTTGTCCAAGGTTCAGAAAATCTTTGACCTTTTTTTTGACTGTTAATGTATCTCTTGCAATTTCTGTGTTTGCACCTTGGATTGTTCTCAGGTTTTATTTTCATTATTTTAAGTGGGAATACTATGTACAAATTTTATGCTTAAGCTAGGTATGTAGATTTCCAGTTTTGTCTTGTCTGCGCTGAGTGGGCTTCAAGGAACAAGGAGAATAATTGCATTGAACTTTTCAGTTCATTTCTGAAAATATGTGTACATGTTAAATACTTCCAGCAGGGGATGCTACAAATCAAGAATTCAGTCAAATCAGAAAATACTAAATTGTGTTGTAAAACTGCCATCCATATAAATTTATGAAAATATGTTCATAGCTTATATTATATCAAGTGTTGCAGATCTTTCCAGTGCTGTCTGTGTGGACTGATGCATGTTAGGAAGATTCAGTTTTATCTTCCCTATGTTCTTGACAGAGGTCTAGACGGGAAGTATGCCCTCTGTGCGTTGTTAGTACTAAAGTCATAAACTAATTTATAAATATTATACATTTGACTTCACTCCAGATAGTGCATACAGGAGATTGTGGCATAAAAATGAGGACATGTTCTATATATTCAGAAGTCATGTGTATTCTGTTTGTCATAGCTAATCAGCTCCTTTATTGTAGCACAGAGAAATTTATCTCATCAATCATAGCATTGCCATAATTTTCTGTCTTGGTTATTGGGGATTGTATTGTGCAAATCCAAATGGCACTCGCTGTACAAAGATGCATATAGATATTTTAAAATGGCAGAGAATCTCACTTAGCCTTTCTTTTTATTTGTTCTGACTGTTCCGTGATGTTCTCTTTTAAGGATGACAGCCTATGTTAATTGACAAAATTCTCAGTAGATGTCATCCATACAGCTCCATATCAGGTGATGTAATGCACTTTATTGGGTGAATTTTAAAAATTTTTTTTTGCCTCCCCTCAAATTGCAGCGCTGTTTTACCGTGTGGCAAAGGACCAGACAATGTAACGTAGTGTCAGTGACTGGAGAGGTAACATAGCGATCACTGGCTTTCTGACTTTTCTAATATTCAAGCAGCCTTTTTCAGATCAGTTTTTTCACCCCAAAAATATTTATCCAGCCAAGTTATAACGTCAGTTTGATGGCTCTGAACATGCTTGTGATTTATTAAACATTTCCAAAATTTTATTTTCAAATGGTTTGGCGTTCCAAGAAAAGGTTTTTGAGTTTGTGAAATATCACATCTTGTTCATTTAGCAGACTTTTATATTCAATTCCTTTTTTGGCCTGACTGATTTGATTCTACAGTTTCAACCACACAACTGGCACAGCTTAGACATTTTACGATTATGGTGGTGACGAATATTTGATCACTGTTCCTGTTTAATTCCACCAACATTATAAGCAAATGCTGTAAAAGGAAAACAAAGATAAACTTCACATTTCATTACCACTTGGTTGCAGTAGAATGGTAGGATTGAATCCGACTGCAGCCTATAGTCACACCCAAGTGGTTGAAAGGAAATACTGAAACAAAATAAATTAGACAGTACCTTCCCAAAATGAACGCAAATTGAGAAAGAGTTTTCTTTAAATTGGGTTATTCCAGCTTACTGTGACCAAAAATGAAAAAAAAAACACTTTAAAGGAATATCAAATTCAAAACCGTTGAAGGATCGTGGTCCATATGAAATTTGTTTGGAGATTTAGAATATTCTCAACTAGAAAACATTGTATTTATTTATTACCTCTTTTAATATTAACAAATTCCCCATGGCTTAAATAGAATTTATGTATTTATATAGAAAAATCAAAATTTTCCTTGCAACACCACTCCAGTATCCCATGTAGGGTATCCCTTCTGTACAGTTCTTTTCTTTTCTGGTTGTGGGTTCACAGGCATCAGCCATTCTTGTTCAAGTGACCATTCTTCAAATGTGGATGTTGGCTGATAATTAGATACACTTGACGTTGTAGGAAGCCTGATTGTGTTTGCACCAGCTATCAGTTTTCTGGCAATAGTCACAAGATAGTGTTCAGGTATGGAGAAATGCAGATATTTTTCCCCTTCCCCCACCCCCAGCCTAGCAATAAGACCATGTGACAGATCATTGTATTTATTTTTGCATTATTTTGTAAATGCTTTCAGAAAAGTATTAAAACAAATAGTCATGTACTGAAGAGGGTTTATGATCTGTGCCTCTATGGTTTTATTATCCCACACTCGTGGCATCAATGTTTCTGATAGAAAATGGATTAAAATTATAAAGATAATTTTTCATAAAGGTCCCACAAAATGTGTATTGGGAAGTGTCAACGGTAACAAATTACATGCAGTAAATTCTCCATCCTCCAAAAAGTGTCCATTATTAATTATATTTTTCTTTGTTCACTCAGTTTGTTTCTTATTATTGATTGTATGCAATTTTTGCTGTTTACAAGACACCTTATATGTCGTAAAAGGAATAAATGTAGAATTTTAAATCTCCTTTCTCTTCTGTACTTCTGAGTATGCTGTCTAACTGTACAATTGTATCAGCATCCAGTTCTGGGCACTGCACTTTAGGAAAGGTATGAAACCATTGGAGAGAGTGCCAGAGAGGTTTACGAGAATGGTTACAGGGATAAGGAAATTCAGTCATGAAGATACCTTGTAGAGGTGGGACTGTTCTCTTTGGAGAAGAAAATGCTGAAAGCAATTTTGACTGAAGTATTTAAAATTATGAGAGGGCCGGATAGAGTAACTAGGGGAGAACATGTTACCATTCCCATTAAAAACAAAGGGTGCAGATTTAAAGTACTTATAAAAGAAGCAAATGTGATGCATGCAAAAGATTCTTCAAGCAGTGAATGGTTAGGGTCTGGAATGCCCTGTCTTAGAGCATGGTGGAAGCAGGTTCAATCGTGGCACCCACAAAGGATAGTTAGTTGAAAAGCAACAACATGCAGTGTTATTGGGAGAAGGCAGGAGAATGGCACCAGGTAAAATACTCATTTGGAGAGCTGATATAGAGCCGATGGGCTGAATGATTTTATGTGCTGTAACAATTCAATGATTTAGCAAGCAGCTATTCCTTTCAGTACAATTTCATTAATTTGTCTCCTTTTTCTTCTCTCAGCTACTCTGAAGATGTTATCCCCCAGCATCCTTGCCTGAAACTTATTAGTAACTGTGAACAGTCTCTCACAACCCATACATCGCGGCAGCTGATTACAATGGAAAAAGTGAAAGAATTTGAGGTATGAAAGCAGTACATCTGTTTCTTTTTCACCAATCAATCTCTGACAGGAAAGTTGTTGGGCAGTTACCATGTGAGGTGCTGCATTCCAATGGGAGGGAAGAGTCTGAAGGTGTGCCAAATGGACTTCCTTATCTGTATTAATCAGGTGCTATAGGCAGAATTGTAAAATTATTTCTTTACTTACATTTTCTGGTCTGTAGTGAGAATACGATGCGTACAAATTATTTGCCTTGCATATTAAGTGCCATCTGGAGACTTAAGTCAAAGAGCAATAAATCTCAGGAAGACTTGAGACTGGAGAAATGGACTTGAGACTGGAGTATCTCTGCGTGGATTGTCCTTTAAACTGAAGTGTTTAATTTTCTTCTCATTTGAACACAAAATTGCACAGATAAGTAAACAGAGATGATAAAATGATGGGAAATACCTTGGGAAACAATTTGTTCTGGATCACCAATGTCGGATGTGAAGTCAGATATTCCAAAAAATTTTAAAAATACGTAGGTGCAAGTCAGGTTACGGATAGAGATAGTAGGACCCTTCTTCTGAAGAAGGGTCTAGGCCCGAAACATCAGCTTTCCTGCTCCTCTGATGCTGCTTGGCCTGCTGTGTTCATCCAGCTCTACACCTTGTTATCTCAGGTTAGGATAATTGGCCTGCCTTGGTTGCAACTTCCCAGCATTTTCAGGCATTTGATTTTTATTCAGATAGTCTGGAATTTTGTTTGACTTCATTGTAAGCAGAGATAAACTTTGCTAGACCTCTCCATGGGATACTAAATGGGTGACTGGTGCTAATGATTTAGCAGAATAAACATGACGTGCTGAATCAATGATTTGATGGATGCAGTAGACTTGATCAATGGACTTGATTTTGCTGCTAGTATACTTATCTTGACAATGGGTCAAATTTAGTGTTGGGACTTAAGAAGAGCAAGCGTGGAACATATGATCTTCTTATTGCAGAACAGTTAAGTTAGAACTGGGAGGCCCATCTAGTTTGGGACAATGGCAGGATGCGTCATGAAGGTGGCTGTGTGCGCGTCGCCTGGTACTTAGGTGTAGGTAATCGGAGCAGGTAATCAGTTCCTATGAGAACCTGCCCTTGGAAAAGCTACCCAGATACAGAATAGAAATTAGGAGCCATGCAGCTGGGCAAATTCTTACTTTCTGACATGTATTCAGTAGCATGTTTATATCTCCTAGCTATGTTTTGTTTTGAAGATGTGTCATTATGTACAAAATAATTGAATTTTGCCCATTTATTTAAACCAACTTTTCCTGCCTCTGCCTCCATAACCCACATTCCAGTCCTATCTCTTTGTAGCTCATGAATAATGTGAATATTTCTGCTTGCTCAGGCTATAATTAGTATGAGCCAAAGTGCAAAGTCTAAGAGACTTCTATTCCACCACACACAAGTGGTAACTTCAGCCACTTGGATGTGTCTCTGTCAAACGTAATTGAACCTGTATTTTTATGAGACGCTCATGTCTCCTTAATGAAGCAGGTTGCCTCAGGCTTGTTTTCTGCCTCACAATTCAAAAATAAAATTTATTAAAAATGTAATTGTATCCTGCAGACACTGTGTTAATAGAATGGATGTATGGCATGATTCATGATAGATGTCTTTATGAAGCTAGTTTTCTCGGGAGTCATTGTCAGCATTGTGTTTTTTCTTTAAACTATGATGTGGCTGTGAATATTTCAGCTTCATATTAGAGGCTTAATTCTGCTCAATCATAGTACAATGAAAAATTACTGTTTGCCCTGTCAATGTTTGCTCTGACGGTCAGTGCTTGTGTTGCCCTCCTGTATGTTGCAAAACTTCACAGAAGGTGCCTCTGCTTTGTAGTATACTGTTGGTCCTGTGGAATTCATGAATTTTTTATTTATGGGCAGATTTGAGGGAGCATGAGGAAAATAATGCAGCTCACAACTTCACTTCTAGTTGATGAACCATTGAGAATGGTCTTTGTAGACTGTTGCTGACTTCATCGCTGGCTTGTGCAAGCAATCTGAGCTTACACAAGGAAATAAGAACGCAATGGATCTAAAATTCCTCGATCCCACTGCACCAGTGGAAATGCAGCGGTGTGGTCTCCATTAAACTTTGGTTTTGACTGCACTGGGAGTGTGAAGGGACAGGACAATCTGGTGGTACCATTTCATTTAAATGTTTTGACAGGTATCTGTCTACGTATGGGTGCACCTTGGGTGCCTGCTAGTGTAGCATTGCAGGAATTGTGGGACCAGGTGATCAAACATGAGTCCTCTCCTAAAAATAAATCTTTCTGTGATTGGCTTTCCATGGAAGGAAGGGAGAAGGGTATTCAAAATATCTCTCAAAATTACCTAGGAAATGTCAGAGAAGAGGCAAATAAGGGGCATTTTGATGTTCAAAGAAACCTTAATGTAAGGAAAGAATGAGTTGTCATGTAGTCATTTCTCAGATAATTGTCATAAAGAAAGTAATGTGCTTATGCTCTGTTTCATCTCTGAGGAGAAGGAGTCATGGCAGTGATTGATGTTAAACCAGTGAGACAGCTTCATTGATGTATTGTGTTCTGCAGGCATTACTTGGCAAGGTCCTCACCCTGGCACTGTACTCCATGTTGTTCTGCCTTCAAAACCATTACATTTGCTTCCTTCTCTAGGGATCTCTATATCCAGAACAGAGTGTGCGGACCCTAGCAAGCCATAACTCTGCGGATTACAAGATCTTGCATTATTTGCATTTGGTTACAAAGGATATGGACTTCCAGCAAGTTTTACTGTTAAAATTGAAGAGACTACTAGTTGGAGTTTGCAATGGTATTTGTGTCATGTGTTGTACACATTTTAGAAGAGTTGTGGAATTCTCGCACACTATTAGGGCAGTAGCCAGATAACAGTTGAAGAGCCAATGGGACACGATGTAAAAATTGCAGTTGTTACGAGACTGAGACCTGGAAAGGGTGTGTTGTCTTCTGAAGACACGCTGGGCTTGTTTTCAGTAGAGTCTAGAAGAGTGAAGGATTACTTGATTTAAGTATATACGATCCTTAAAGGTCTTGACAAGGTGGACATGACAAAGGTGTTTCCACTTGTGGGTGAGTCCAATATTGCAACGCACTGTTTTAAAATTAAGGGTCACCCTTTTAGGACGGAGATGGGTGAATTGTTTTCTGAGGGTTGTGTGACATACAGGTAAAGCAAGTATTTAGGAAGATAAATCTTATTGGCCTTTATCATAAAGAAGTCTTGCTTCAACTGTATAGAGCCTTAGAGAGATTGCATCTGAAATACTGTTTGAAGTCTTGGTCCACTTATCTGAGGAAGGATGCACTTTCCATATAAGCAGCACAGCAGAAGTTCAACTGATTAATTCCTGGAATAGAGGCATTGCCATATAAAGAGAAGAGACGGGATCTGTATTATAGAGTCTTAGAGTCATCCAGCCTGGAAACAGATCCTTTGGTACAACTCATCTGCATCAACCAGACATCCCAATCTGACCTGGTCCCATTTGCCGGCATTTGGCCCATATCCCTCTAAACCCTTCCTATTCACATACCCATCCAGATGCCTTTTGAATGTTGTAATTGTATACACCTCCACTACTTCCTCTGGCAGCTCGTTCCTTACACTCACCACCCTTTGCATGAAAAGTTACCCTCAGGTCCTTTTTAAATCATTCCCCTCTCATCTTAAATCTATATCTTCTAGTTTTGGACTCGCCCACCTTAGGAAATGAGAGGTGATATCATTAAAACTCAAAACATTATTAAAGCAATGGAGAGGATAGATGGAGAAAAGATAATTCCTCTGGCTGTGGAGCCTAGAATTAGAGGCACAGTGTCAGATAAGGGTTAAGCCATTCACAACAAATATGTGGAGGTACATCTTCACGCAGGAGGTGGTGAATCTTTAGAATCCTCTAGGCTAGAGGGCTGTAGAAGATCACTGACTGAGTATGTGCCGGACAGAAATTGATAGATCACTAGATACGGTTGACATCAAGTGATATAAGGATAGCACAGAAAAATGACATTGGGCTAAATCTAGAGCTAGCAATCTGCGTGGATTTCTAAGGAGAAAGTTGTGTTCATCTAACTTGCTTCTGATTTTTGAAGAAGGAACAAGCTTTGATGAGGGTAACGCTATTGATAGAGTGTACATAAACTTTCAGAAGGCATTTGGTACAATGCCACATAAAAAATTTGTGAGGATAAGTTAAAGGGCCAGCAGCCCTTTAACTTGGCTGAATGATAGGACACAGAGACAATGATCAATGGATATTTTTCTGGCCGATTGAAGAGTTGCAGTGCGGTTCCATAGGTGTTGGTATTGGGGCCCTTACTTTTCCTAACATAAATTAATGATCTGCACCTTAGTGTACAGGAGACCTTTTCAAAGTTTGCAGATGATGTGAAATTTAGAAGAATTGTAAATTCTGAGGACGACAGTGTAGAATTAAAAGGACAGAGACAAGTTGGCAGTGAATAGGTGACAGATGGAGTTCAATGCAGAGAAATGTAAGGTAATACATTTAGGAAGAACATTGATAAAGAATATAAAATGTAGGTGCAATTCTAAAGGGAATGCAGGAGCAGAGGAACTTGGATGTGTATGTGCACAGATCACTGAAGGTAACAGGACAGGTTGAGAGAGCAACAAATAAAGCACAGTACTCTAGGGGCATTTGAGTACAAGATCATGCATGTTATGCTCAACTTGTATAAGACACTTGTTTGACCACAGCTGGAGTATTGTGAACGGTTCTGGGTGCCATATTATAGGAGGATGTGAACGCATTGGAGAGATTGCAGAAGTGATTTACAAAGTATGGCCCTAGGGATGAGAAATTTCAGTTATAAGGATAGGTTGAAAAATATGGGACTATTCTCCCTGGAATGGAGAAGGCTGAGAGGAAATCTGCTAGAGGTTTTCAAAATCATGAGTTGGATTAATAGAGTAATGGAGAAAATCTGTTCCTGCTTATAAAAAGATGAAGAAA